GCTTAAGAGCAGGCAAAAACCGACTGCCTCAGGCATTAATTGTTTGCCCTTTCGTCCATTGAGGACTGGGCCACACTGCTAGAGGTAAACCGGTTCAAAGTCATTCAAAGCGGTTGTTGAGACTGACGGGTGCGCACACGACGGGTGCAGTGCATGCCGAGTCAGCGGCACTGGCCAGACACCGTGCCAGCGACTGCTTAAGAGCAGGCAAAAACCGACTGTCTCAGGCATTGTTCTTTGCCGTTTCGTCCATTGGGAACGGGGCCACAGTGCCAGAGGTAAACAGATTCAAAGCGGTTGTTGAGACTGACGGGTGCGCACATGACGCACGCGTTGCATGCTGAGTCAGCGGCACTGGCCAGACACCGTGCCAGCGACTGCTTAAGAGCAAGCACATACCGACTGCCTCAGGCATTGTCGTTTGCCCCTTCGTCCATTGGGAACGCGGCCACAGTGCCAGAGGTTTTCAGATTCAAAGCGGTTGTTGAGACAGACGGGTGCGCACACGACGGGTGGAGTGCATGCTGAGTCAGCGGCACTGGCCAGACACCGTGCCAGCGACTGCTTAAGAGCAGGCGAAAACCGACTGCCTCAGGCTTTAATTGTTTGCCCTTTCGTCCATTGAGGACTGGGCCACACTGCCAGAGGTAAACAGGTTCAAAGCCATTCAAAGCGGTTGTTGAGACTGACGGATGCACACACGACGGGTCCAGTGCATGCTGAGTCAGCGGCACTGGCCAGACACCGTGCCAGCGACTGCTTAAGAGCAGGCAAAACCGACTGTCTCAGGCATTGTTCTTTGCCGTTTCGTCCATTGGGAACGGGGCCACAGTGCCAGAGGTAAACAGATTCAAAGCGGTTGTTGAGACTGACGGCTGCGCACACGACGGGTGCAGTGCATGCCGAGTCAGCGGCGCTGGTCAGACACCGTGCCAGCGGCTGCTTAAGAGCAGGCAAAAACCGACTGCCTCAGGCATTGTTGTTTGCTCTTTCGTCCATTGGGAACTGGGCCACACGGCCAGAGGTCAACAGATTGAAAGTTGTCGCAATAATTGCCCGCCTCTGAAGAAAACAAACTCATCCGACATCAGTGTGCAGCACCAATCGGTTGTATCAACTGAGCAGCAAGATAAGAAAAGTTTCCCCGTTTTTTTGCAGGGCTTCTGCAATGCCCGGCGCGGGGCATGCAAGCATGCTGACGAAGCTGGGCATAGAGGGTAACGATGGTGGAGATCCGTGATCTGAATCTTGCATCCAGAATTGTCCGTCGTGTTTGTGACTTTTGGCCTCCAGCTGTAGAGCCCGAATGCATGCAAATCACAAACCCCAAGCTCCCTTTTTTTGGTTTAGGGTAAAAGTCCTTGCGTCCAACGGCCCTTTTGTCCTAAACCCTAAACCCAAAATCCTAAACCCAAATCCCTTAACTTGAACCCTGACCCCAACACCCGAGGCCCTAGACCCAAACCTCAACCTACACGCACGCTGAGTTTTAATCGCGGCGAAGCCCCTTTGATGGATCCTTCGCCCTGTCCCAGGCTTGATGATTGGTAGGTTCGGGAGTTTTCAGGGTGCTTAGGGTTTAGGGTTTAGGGGTTTACGGCTTTAAGGGTCTAGGGGTTTAGGGGTTGAGGATGTAGGGTTTTTAGGGGTTTAGGGTTTAGGGGTTTAGGGTTCAGGGGTTTAGGGTTAGGGTGGTTGTGTGGGAGTTCAGAGTTGCGGGTCTGGAGCGTGAGTGCTTTTCTGACAGCAGGCTTTGGTTCTTGGGCAGTTCTCTAAATTCGGGTCCCTCTTCAGATCCCCCAAAATAGTGCGGCACCCTGCTAAAAAGGACCCTAAAAGGAGCCGCAGATAGAGAGGAGCCTAATAGAAATGCAAACCCAAGGTTTCCTAAGCAGGTTGCTACATTACCGGGTTTAGGGTTTAGGGTTTAGGGTTTTTACCCCCTTCCCAGTAGTGTTTGGGGTTTTGCCTTGGTTCGGGGCTGGGAGATCTGAGGAAGCCATTCCCTCATGGTCCATGGTACCTATAAGGGTTCCTTTACTTTGCGGGTTGGTTCCTTTGAGGGTTTAAGGTTTCAGGGTGTATGTACCACCCACATTGATCTTAAAGCAGTCCCTTTGTAGGTACTTTGGTGCCAGAGTATGTGCTATTTGGGTGCTTGGGCCCTTTGATATTCTAGCTGACCCGCCGCTACGTCCAGTTTTTGAGGTACGGAGCCACGGGCCGTTGCGATTGCTTTCAAGGGTAATGTGAGGGCCTCAATAATTACCAATACTAGTCTGGAGGTTCCTTGTTATGATTCTGGTATAATATGCCCCAAAACTCTAGTCTAAGTACTAAGGCCCCTACATTAGATTGGGGTTACATCCAAGTGCTTGCAGGATTTATGTCAGCCCCTACCGTGACGGCGATGAAGGGCATTCATCGGCTGACCAAGTATCTGCTGAACACTATGAACTATGCTGCTCTGCATGCACCGAAGCGTTCCGGATCCACAGTGTTTCGCGAAGCTTAGCATGATGATGAGGACCACTGCATGGAGATCTACTCGGACAGCGATTGGTCTGGTAAGTTTTGCAATTCATGGTTGCGTGGTGCATCACATGTGCAGGTCACACCGGACTATATCAACCAGCCCATGCCCCTACTTGAATAGGTGCCCTGGAACAGCCAAGTAGAACCCTCAGCTCTCCTATAGAACCCTGTGATACTGTTGATTTAAATTCTGCATTACCTTATGGACTCTAAACTATGGGAATTGTGGTATGTTCAATTGTTGTGGGTAAAGCAGGGTTTGCATCATCAACCGTACCCTGTAAGCTGTTTATCCCTCTGAGACGTAATGTCCAGAACCCGACAGCCGAGCCCAATATAGAGGCCAGTACCTATATTATGTTGGAGGTTCCTTGCTATAATTACAGTATAATATACATCAAAACACTATTCTATTGATTAAGGCCCCTACATTACACAAAACATCTGTCCTGACAGAAACGCTTCTGCAGCCGCTCGGCGCTGCTGATGCCGTCCGCGGGGTTTCTCAGAATTTTGGCGAATTTTGGGGTTTAGGGTTTAGGGGTTTAGGGTTTAGGGTCTAGGGCTTGGTTTCAGAGGTACATCCAGCAACATACCCCGAACCCTCTTCTGTGGCTGATTCTAGTGAAGATTCTCGTGAAATCCGTCTGTATTTCCATTATGGGGCCTTCGAAATTGGCAGTTAGCGGTTTAGGGTTTAGGGTTTAGGGGTACCCTAGACCCTAGGCACATCCTCACGCGAAAAATCGAATCTGAGTTTTTGTTGTTTCGTGCGCCCCGTCGATGAGGGTGCAGGGTCTAAATTCAGCGTCCTTGTATAAGGGTCTTAAGTCGCTATATAGTAGGACGTATGGTTTCTACAGTAATCCCCTCCCGTAATATAGGGTTTTGGAATTTTCGAGTTCCAGGATTTAAGACCCGTCGGCATCAGCCGTGGCGAACTTGGGCGCCCCTTAACCTACGCAGTGGCTCAACCCAAGGCGAATCAGATCGTTGAACATGGTAGTTGCGTTGAAGATTAATGTAAACAGGTGGGTATGAAATCCCTTTCACGGCCACCACGAAAGAATCCTTAGCATAGTCTTGATTGAGGGTGTCTTCAACTTTATCAGGGACCTACATTGAGGCCACGAGCCCTAAACCGACACGCCATAGACCCTACGCCCTGAACCCTGAAGGCCAACAACCCCTGAACCCTAAACCCCAAGCGCCAGCAGCCCCTAAACCCTAAACCTTAAGCCAGGATTATAGCAGAGGCCCACAGGCTTCGTGGCTTTGTAGGCTGCGGTGCCGAGTTGCTATGCATTCGTCGCAAGTTGAGTTGCGCTTTCTTGGGAAGATAATATAAGGGCCGTGATGTTTAGAATGGGTTTTGTTCGTTATATTGCTCTTTGCAGGGGTGGCAGTATCATGATGCTTGACCCCTCCCATGATTCGGTGCCGTGGACCGCCACGTGGAGATGTTCTTTTCTCAACGGACGCGTATGTCTGCCCATGCTGTTTGTTCATGTAAGTCCGAGCTGTTGATTTTCGTGTCGTTGTTGCGGCGTTGACTTCGCGACAATATGCACCAGCAGCATTTGGGGTCCCTGACGTCATCCTCAACCCACCCACGATCGAGATGCCGTCTGTCGCGACAATGAAGAACGCGAACCCAACCACTAAATTCCTTAAAGCCTGCAGCCCTACTCTAAAAAGTCGGCAGTGTAGCCCACACGGTGCTGCCCTCGAAACACTCCAAGTGTTTCACGTGCTGGAAGGGCCGCACGAGGCCCCCACAAACGATCTTACCTTGTTTCCGAACCCTCACATACCCTAACTTCCCTAAACCCTAAACCCTAAACCCTCACATACCCTAACTTTGTCTAGGGTTGGGGTTTCTTGTTAGGGATGATACGGTTCAACTTGCTTGAGGATGTAGAGAACACAATATAGAAGGCTGAATAATCAATAATTACCAACATTCTTCCTTGGGGGTCCTTATTAGGATTATACATAAGTCTACTATTGTATACCCCCAACACCCTGAAGTATACATAAGTATACTATGGTGTATCCAGAACCCCTGTTCTCAACACTTCAGACTCCCAGACTCTAGGAGGTGGGTAGTTACCGCTATAGAGGCCTTATAGAAGGTCTATATACCT